CTTCCAGATGGTTTATGATTCAACAACGCACTGGGCTGATACAAAATATTGTTTGTTCTTTTCAGCTGAAAAAAAAAGAAACTTCTGAGATATGTAACAAAGACGAGGATGGACTTGGGAAACCAGTACTGCTGTGATATGAAATCAAGTCTGAGATATGCAACAAGGATTCTTTTTGGAAGAACAGGTCAAAATACCGCTGATACCGGTGCTCATACTGCCAGAAAGTCCGCAACTCGGGAGCTAAAAGGACTAGGTTACTCCCTTGTAGTTTACCATCATATGGCATGTGCTAGCTTACTCGAGTTGCGGACTTTCTGGCAGTATGAGTAGTATCAGTATAGCGTCATATCCCCTAGAATGCCGTTGTCTTGTTGAGATGTGGTCCGACCGTCCGAGTGTAATTCAAAGAATCTAAACTATATGATTGGTCATTTAATCCCTACATGTCTCACAAGACAAACAACTGCACTCTAAGGGACAGGTAGTACCTAGAGGGTTAGGTTTTGAAGACCCACACTAGTGTTAGAATATGAAGTAGTATTCCGATCTCGGTAGATGCAATAGATTCCCTGGTAGGTAGTACTAGAGCAACCAGAAAGCAGTCGATACTGTAGTTGAGATTCAGATTAATTCTGAAAGTGTATGAAGCAGGCGATATGTAGTTGCGATTCGGACAGTGCTAGCTAAAAGCATACCATTAAGACAAGCAACCAAGATATAGACTCCAGAGAACACAAACTACAATCATGATCAGCGACACCCAACCCTTTCCTCTCACTGCCCTTTCCCTGCCCTTTCCCTGCCCTTTCACAGCTCTATTGCGAAAGAGCTTTGAAAAACTAGCTATAAACCGTACTCTAGTACATATGAGACATGCAACAAAAGCCCATGAGACCATTAAGACTATTGATTTGTGTTGCTCTAACTCTTTGAGTAATACCGGTAGTATATCGAACACTTCATATCCATGAATAGCGAGGCCCAACACTTTCTTTCACAGCTCTATTACTCATGTCGCCAGAAATTCCGCAACTCGGGAACTAAGAAACTAGGTTACCCCCTTGTAGTTTACAGCATATAATAGTATGTGCTTGTCTGCCCGAGTTGCGGACTTTCTGGCGGCATGAGTACGAAATAGCTATAAACCAGCTATAAACCAACTATGAGCTGTACTCTAGTACATGCGAGACATGCAACAAAAGCCCATGAGACCATCAAGACCATTGATTCGTGTTGCTCTGACTCTCTGAGTAATACTATGTATAGTATAAGCACTTATAGTGGATCATGGTCCATAGGCTTCAGAGAATCTCAATCTCAATCTCAAGCTCAAACTCAAACTTGAAAGTTTATATTTCTCCCTTGATTTACAACAAGAATCATTCATCCTAGCTATAAACTAACTATGAACTGTACTCTAGTACATTCGAGACATGCAACAAAAACCTATAAGACCATTGATTTGAGTAATACTATAGTGTAAGCACCTATAATATATCATGGATGAGCTTCAGAAAATTTCAATTTCAATCTCAATCTCAATCTCAGGGAAAATCCTTTCATCTTTCGCCATGCAAAGAAAGCCACGCAAGCCGATTCGTAATCTTATTATGATACGAGTATAAAAGACCAAAGTTTAAAGTTTGAGTTTGCTTTATTATCTCTTTTAAAAAAAAATATGAGTTATAACTTCATAAGATTGGTATCCAGCCTAGGCATCCAACCCAATACTAGTACAACAGAACCTCTCTATAACCTATAAGAATCCTGGATATAAGGATAACCTATCTATAAAGATAATATTTCAGGTTTCTTTCTTTCTTATTTTGGTTGTAAAAAAGAGACTAGATATATCTTTTAAAACCTCTAATGTAACAAGATCCTTAATATATTGGGTTCCGAAATCCCTGTATAATATCCCTATTTTGAATAGATTTAGGTTGGATCAAATCAAAGTATAGAGGAGACATACTAGTACCGGTACCATTATAAAAATAAAATAGTATGAGCAAAGAAGAAGATCTTGAATCTTGATTCAAGTTCATTGTGTACGCCACTGTAAAGGGGCCTGCAGTCTACTAGAACTATTGAAAATTCATCTGAAGAAAAAAAAATCCTTTCAACACTTCGGAAAATTCGGAGGAATGAGTTGAAGATACGCCACTGTAAAGGGGCCTGCAGTCTACTAGTAGTAGTAGTAGTAGTAGTAGTAGTAGTAGTAGTAGAACTATTGAGAAAAATTGATCTGAAAAAAAAACTTTCAACACTTCGGAAAATTCGGAGGAATGAGTTGAAGATACTATTTATAGATGCGTTTTCCATGGTTATTCCGGGCTAGAGTGCCATTGTTTGTTTGTCTTGCGGGGTATATAGGGATTAAACAACCAATTATATAGTTTAGATTCTTTGATTTTCAATCATATTCCTCGAATTGCATTTGGACCACATCTCCAAGACAACATCACTCTAGTCTCTAGGAGATAGGTTTTCCTCACATCATGATTCACATCATGATTCATGACATGATAATAACCCTTTAATAAGTCAAGACGATATTCAACTTTCAAGACAGTGGCGTGGGGCGAGGAACCCTCATCGCTCACAGCATAGATCCAATTGACACTCTGGAGTTTATATATGCGCTTAATAACCCGATAGATGTCAAGATTGAGCCAACACTTTAAAGTACTGGATATACCGGTATAGTCCCATCCCAAGTTCCAACATATGAAAAGTCTATCGAAACTCAAGAGCTGGTATTGAAATATCTCACGATATGTTCTGGCATTTTGAGTTCAATGATGCGCGTAACCCAAATAGCTTCCCACTTGGACTGGCTAGTAATGTTAATTCAATGCAAATCATCCACTGGGCAGTCCGAGAACGGGAATATGATGTTCACCATACGTTCTACCTTGGTATAGTAACGATACCGGTACAGTAGTGTGTATGCTAGATATCTAGAATTTTTTCATATCCTTGGTTTGAGAATTCGACTTTGTGATGACTTTGTAGTTAGTGATTCATCGAGGAACATTGTTAGAAGTGTTGTCAAATCTCAGCTAACTGACTGAGCTTAAGCCCTTACCCCTTTAGTCAAGTTGTATATTGAGGCTGAAGTTAAGCGGATTATATGATTGAAAGATTCAATAAAATGAATTACTTGATCTGTGATTTTATATCTACTTTAGACCACAATCTTGTATTGCCAACTCAGAGCGTTAAAAACTAGGTTGTATATAGTAAGGACTTAAGCTCAATTAGCTGAGATTTGACAGTATTGGATACGAATGGAAGGCAATGTGCCAACTTCCAAGGTGCGTAATCGAATGGTGTAAGATGGCGATGACAGATAAGACCGTGGGACCATTAATGTGGAACTGCATACTAAAGCTAGAAAAAGAATAGGACATCAATAAAGTTCAACAGCTGTATACAAACTTTAAACCATATCAGATGACTTATAAGATCACACCATAGTGACCACACACAGTCCAACCCACATGCCACCCACAGAGAGTGCAGAAGAAAGCTTCACCGAGACAGAATCAAATCAATCTAGAAAATCCAATAATGATTGAGTTGTGTGCGCGGAATTCCCAAACATTTGCCGACAGGTAGCGTAGCCCGAGCTAAGGAACCCCATGACCAGCGGTGGCGTGGTGGATGTGAAAACCTGAGGTTTCTCTTCAAAGAAGGCTCAGGTCAGGTTTGGTTAGTGGTTCTGCCAGTCTCCGGGGCTTTAGGACCGCTATGATTCGTATCAGATCGCTTCAGAAGCCTATAAGCCCAGAAGCCTATAAGCCCATAAGCCCATAAGCCCATAAGCCTACTGAAAAAGTGTTCAATGGGTAATACCTACCTGGACTATGTATGAATGATGCCTAAAGAACCTAATCAACAATCAACTTGATTCCTAGACATACCTTTGGTATCCTAAGATATCATGAATATCCAGCATCCAAGAGCATCCAAGAGCATCCCCAACTTGCCTATCCAAACTTGAGAATTTTAAAAATATACACAAGGATGATGGTTTGACGTTCACTGAAAATCTTTTCATTGTACTAGTTCTCATCACGTGAGAGGCGGGGTAAATTATAAACCAATGGAGGTTCAAGTTGGTGGGGTGGCTCACTTGAAGTCGTGCTTCCACGATAAGGATAATCTGGATTGAAAGAGATAAGAAATTGAAAGGATTTCTGTCATTCAAGTTAAAGAGATGAGAAATCTAAAGATTTCTATCATTTTTGTTAAATGTTGAGTTATTGAGTTATTACACTAGTATCATATACTCATATATAACAAATGGTTCATAAAGTAATTAGTGAACAAGATTTAAAGACTCTAAGTTGTCTCGTTTCAGTCATAGCTCTCTTCAAAATCCTCACTTGAAGTCTTCCACGATACATATAAACTAAATTACTAAGGAGAGGAGGAGATGAGAAACCAAGCCCAAATATTTCTGCCAAATATCTCGACAAGATAAATAGCTGACACTGGCAGTAATTAATAAAGCTTTTGTTTGTATTTCCAATATAGGTAAGGGAACCGATAAACATATTATCCTTTCCCATCCCATCTTTGACTAAATAAAAATTCACATTAGCAGTTGCTCGTTGCTGTATCCATATCCAATTTTTGTGTAATGTGATGTGATGTGAAGTTTCTTCTGTTCACAATCCTGTTCACAATCCTAATATACATACACTTCATGCACATCACACACTGTACGTTTCTTTTATCTCCATCTCCATCTCCACAATAACATAACATAAAATCCCATCCCATCGCATCCCAGAGTTCTCTATATCTGCCGACAGGTTCGAGATTATTCCAGGCTTCGGAGTATGGTCGATTCCGTCTGTAACAAAACGAAAGAGATATTGAGTTATTAATACACTAGTATCATACATACAACAAAAGAATTCGTAAAGTAATCAAAACAAGGTTCAAAAGACCTTAAGCCACCTTATTTCAAGCATACATACCTCTTCCTATCTCACCTCACCCCTCTTCAAAGTCCCCCCTACAGCCCTCCTAGTCCACCCATCCAACACCTCTGCAATCTCATCACTATTCTTCTCCAAAAACTGCATATGACCATTCCCATAAATCCCCTCATCACCTAACCTCATCCACTGCACGTCCACCCCCGCCTGCCTCAAATACATTACCGTACAGCCATCATAGAGCATATGAAAACTAGCATCTCCCGTCTCCAGCAAGACCTTTATTCCCCTCAAATTCTTCAGGATCCTCGGCGGCTTCACCTGCATCCAACACTCCCGTACTTCTACTTCTAATTCCCCATCTCCATCTCCATCTCCATCTCCATCTCTCTCCCCCGCTCCCGCTCCTTCATTCCTCACCAACACCTTCTCCAAAACCTTCCCTCCCCCCAACTCCGGTTCATACACCAACTGCAAATCCGCAATCCCCCAGTCCCTCGCTAACCCCCCCTTCATCATAGTCGGAAACAGCACATCTTGAAACGGCGGACCCGTCGGCTCAATCGACACAATAGCTCTAACCAATTCCGGGACTACATCCGCGATGACCCAAGACATAAGACCGCCTTGCGAATGACTTAGTAACACCGCCGGACCAGTCCGATTGAGGAGTGCCGCTCCTGCTTTTTGCATGTTGGTTTGTTGTATTATGGGATTGGATTGGAATTGGACGTTTGAGGCGTAGAAGGCGTCGAAGATGGGGTCGCCTATTGAGCCATTCTGTTGTCAAAAGGGGGGAAGGTTAGTATTTCCCTCGGTTTGTGTGGGTATTCGCAAAATTCGCCAAGGTGAAAAGGGGGGTATGGTAAAATCAAACCTACACCAGGCCACTGAGTGTGCAGTGTCGCTTGAGGCCATAGCTTATACCTCTCTGTCGCCGTGAATCTTTGCATGATCCTCTCCGCAGAATAAGTCGTTAATGTTGTATTACCACTTGGGTTCCAAGCACTCCTGCCCCTTGCCGTTTGATCCAGGATATAAATTTCATAGCCCTTGGTTAGGAAATACGATGCCCAGCCAGGCGATCCATCGGGTTTGTTGAGCCAGTTCTAGTTTAAAATTAGGTTTTGGAACCCACGTGTGAGACTCGAAGCGTTTGTCATGGTGGAAGAAATCGTAGCGAAGAAGAAAGGGGGTTTACGTACGGTACCGGTCATGCCTTGACCATGGATAAACACAATGGGATATGGTTGTTCGATTCGGCTTGGAACGATATGTTCCACATACATCTGATTAACGAATATAGTATTATTGGTTGAAATAGTAACATATTCGCCACCAACATAAAAATAGTCTCTTGATGCAAACGCCTCAGTGGCTTGAGGTTCACGATCATATTGGTAAACGGGAGCGGATATCACCTTCTGGGGTGATAGAAGGAGTATGTTAATAGATAGGTAGATGGACACAAGTCGCATGGTGGCTTATGGACGATTCCAAAGCTTAGGGGGATATAATGATGTAATGAGATGATTGTAAAAAGAAATGTGGTATGGTATTATGATGTTGAAAGAAAGTACTTTGATATCATGCAGCTGCACATACCAACGGGTACACAAGAACGCGTATAAGAAATAGAACTCTGCCCAGTAGATCGTCGTCTTACATATCCATAAGAAGCTTTGTATCACCCCATAGCACCAAGACATCGCTTCAAAAGTCTACCCCACACGCTCGCAGTACGGACCGAATATCAAGCCGGATTCTTTCTCAGTTCAATGCCAGATTGGACAACATCTTTGAAGAAGTTGTATGACGATACACGAAAATCCTGCATAATATAGCGGACGCAGGTTGACTGTTGAACCTCTGAAAACTGGTAGTCTGAAAACATTGCGATCGGGCCTACTTTGTTGCAGAATTTGGTATCCGAAGTCGAGATCATTGTGTGTAAGTGCAAACGTAAGGCAAGGACATTGCATTGCATGCAATGTCGTAAAGATGTTGAAAGTCGTAATTGATTGAATTTATTCTGTACAGTGTGATACGAAATTGAATGATTGTGAAGATCAAGGTAATGCAACAAGTAATCCTGTGGTATAAAATTTGCAACTTTTTGCTAGAAGCCCAAAACCCATGGCTTGCTTGATCAAAGAAACTACCATTTACGAAACCAAAGGAGCATTAAACCGGAAATTGTGCCGAAGTTGAGACCAAAGAACGCGGTCGACAAGAGGTATATCGTAACGAGAGATATATACTATGAATGCAGAAAGCCTTGTTTCCAACAACAGCACAAAAAGAAAGTAGCATAGGATTTTCCGCCATTTGATGTCAAAATCTTCAACCAATTCATGACTGCAGGTGGACTCTCATGAGAAAGCCAAACCATTCATCAGTAGCGCCGCAGCCATAGAGCAATTAAGCATAACAAAACGATATGTTTGGTGAACATGCTTCGCTCAAAACTTCCCTTTGACTCGTTGGTAGTAGGCATGGGGAATCCTACTCTACCCTCTTCAGCTCATACTCAGACAGTGGGTAGGTAACAACCAACCAACCAAACAGCCAAAAAGAATGCAACAACCCCGATATCCCAGTGTCAAACCGAGTATGGAAGGAAAGAATGTTCACTACTGAACCTTCTAATAGGAATCGAACCAATATCTCCGGAATCAAAATCCGACGTGCTAACCATTACACCATAGAAGGGTTACTTGCTTGTTGTGTGTTGTTATTCGGCCATGAAGAAACCACACATATGATCCTATGCACATGCTACCTGCTATGCATCGGGTGTAAAAGAAAAACGACAAAAAAAACATACAACAGTAGGGATTCGCTGGTGGTCACCCACCCAACTACTAATCTACCGATCTGAGGCTTGTGTATGGCAGAGCGGACGGGATGCCCAATTCTCCTCAGTCTATGGTCGTATGTGGAAGGTGGTGTTGTGACTGATGTTATATTGTATCGTGGGTGAATTGATGTTGTTGATGTGCATAAGGCGGGAGAGGCTCGGGGATTCTAGTCCAACTGCCTGGCGATTTGTATCCAAGCACGCTATCACCCTACCTTTCACGGTCAAGTGCTGATACCGACTGATCCAGGTCAGGAACACCCATAATCTATAACAATTTCCTGAAGGAGCGATTTGACAGGTTCTGAAAGCCTGAATGGCCTGTATCGACACTCGAGCCATGTCGACGCTCGACCTGTGAGCCCTCCAGAATTTAAAAGGCATGATAATGACGGGCATTCAGACTTCTGATGGTGTTGGTTCAATCAAAGCTTGACTCCAAGCTTGGGGTGATAGTTCTAAGTAATGGTTCGAAGAGGGGGGACTGGCGCAATGAACCCACAATACTTGTAATTGTAGCAGTAAATCGTATTGAGAGTCGAGCGATTGATTCGTGAGAACATGGCGAGATCGAGATCGAGATCGAGATCATAGCAGAGTATGATCCTCGTTCACTCAATATGTCAACTGCGCATTCACTTCCGATGTGAGACTTCGCACATTGCGACCAAAAAAAAACCATGCATTCTGTATATATATTCCGAGGGTATCAAATATCGTCCAACGCCTGTCTAAAGTTGCTTTGGTATTCTTACTGCTAACGCCATAAAATGCGATTCCTTACTCTCGAATGTAGTGGGTTCACGCTCGTATAAAGACGTCTGTTTGATCACAAAGATGGAGCTGATTCGGGCGCCGTCGTATTGTCAGTCCATTCGAATTCTGCACAATCAATTAATATCTTTTCTCACCATCTCCCTAATTCCCGGGCAATCTTACTTTGTCTGCACATAGGACACTGTCCTTTGGAAGAATCTTGTTTAATCCACTCTACTATGCAATGCTGAACCTTTGTTAACGTTCGTCGCGTCAATTGGTGTGAGGTCAAAACTAACCATATGGAAATTGTGCCCGCATTTGCCTGATACTATATCCAACTCATTAGTTCCGACACGTAAATATGAAAAATCGAAAAGTCATACACAAACTGCAATCATCGCCAGGATATTTGCAAGTAGGACAAGTCCCATCGAAATGTACCTGACAAATACCACAGACATCGTCTTCATCGAGATCCCACCTCCAAGTTGCGACCGCATTCCATGTTCTAATCTTGACTTTCATTTTTAATAGTAAAGTAGCTTTCAATATTGTGTTGAATGATGGAAGAGAGTTCTCGTCGACCCAGTAATCAATTGCTGTTGTGGTTGAGGTCGAGATTATTTAAATATTTCAGGATTATTCATTATAGTATTGACCCTGATAAAGAACAACAAATCAAAGCTCTGATCTAATGCCGATAAGCTTTTAGTGGTTGACTGGGTTACACAATGAATAAACTCCAATACAACAACTACCTAGGCCTTATAAACCCAAGAACCAACAAAAACTCACAAATTTCAATCTTTGTTGTGAATTTAAATCCTTCATTGTTCAAAGGTAAACTTCGGATACTCAAAAAAAAAACTCGATATTACTGCTCTGGTTAAAGACTTGGTGAAGGGCAAGTCAATGGTAAACACTTATTCATCTGCGATAACATCATATCTGCCATAATGGCAGCATCTATCCTCTATCGACGAGCTCCCACTTTGAGCTCTTTCTCACGACAACCTCTCTCTTCCACATTATCCAAATTCATCACCATGACATCCCACCGATCATTCTCATCATATCTCGTCACTCCATCCGAGCTCTCCGAAGCTCTTAAAAAGAATTCTCCCTCCAAGATCTCCACATCTCCCCGCACCGTTGCTGTCTGCTCAACATGGTTCCTCCCCACCTCTCCTCTGAATGGTCTCCAAACCTTCCGCGAAAAGCGAATTCCCTCCAGTCGTTTCTTCGATCTCGATAAAGTATGCGACAAACGCTCTCCTTATCCTCATATGCTCCCCGATCCTAAAACCTTCGCATCTGCTATGAGCGCGTTGGGAATCCGCAGAGATGATACTGTCGTAGTTTACGATTCATATGAGCAAGGTCTATTCAGCGCGCCGAGAGTGGGATGGACGTTGAAGGTTTTTGGACATCCCAGCGTACATGTTTTGAACAATTTCAAATTGTGGGTGGAAGAGGGGTATCCAACGGAAAGTGGGGAATTCTGGGATGTTGATACTTGCGCATATCCAATTCCACAATTAGACGAAAGTAAAGTTGCGGATTTCGAGGAGGTTGGTGAAATCATTAAGGATACTGGTAAAGAGGGAGCGGAAGGTGTACAAATATTGGACGCTAGGAGTCATGGAAGGTGGACAGGAAAGGATCCAGAGCCTAGAGAGGGTTTGACGAGTGGTCATATGAAGGGTAGTATCAGTATGCCCATGGGAGAGCTATTGGATCCGGTTACTAAGACTTTATTACCCGCGGACCAATTGAGAAAGGTATTCGAGAGTAAGGGTATTGATCCGATGAAGCCTATTGTCAGCAGTTGTGGTACGGGTGTTACCGCTACGATTATCGATGCTGCATTGACACAGGCATATGGAGAGACAGGTGTGAGGAAAGTATATGATGGAAGTTGGACGTATGTATCTCCCTTGTATTACAAATTCATCTGTTAATATAACTAACACCAACAGGGAGTTTGCTCAAAGATCCAAGATATCTGATGGATTAATCGTCAAGGATGAATAAATTATTGAATTTCAGCGTTTGCGAAAACTATACCCACTCTACTCAAGGACTTTGTACATTGATGATATCTATGATGCAGTTGCACATGTTCAGCGATGCACTTAAATTACCTGCTAGTTTTGCGAATATTAAGGAACACGGTGGGAATTTGACGTTAGGAAGGATTAGATGCATATGGGGTTTGTCAATGAATATTAAGGAGGATAATTAGAGGATTTTACCAAGATATCCAAGCATTCACATTTTTCTTTAGTCCCTGCTAGTCTCGCGTCTTCTATAAATACAGTGCAGTGACAATCCATCTGTCCACAACACCTCAATGACGGATATCATCCAGAAGAGTTCAATTCAAGCATGTTGGTCCTTCCGACTCCTTCGCTACACTAATTTTTCCATCACAAACTTCCAGTCAGAACATATTATTATAGTATACAACGGGGGAAATACTCGCATTTCAAGCCCTCTGATCAAACGACAGCAAATAATGGTTATCATCAAGTGATGGTGATGAGTGGTAGTGGTCGTGGTAGTGGTAAGTGGCCGTATATTTTGATGATGTTGTGGTATTGGCTGGCGACAATGATGTACTTTCTTCGAAAGTTCTACTTAGGCAATCATCATCTATCCGCCTTTGCATTCATTATAGTATAGTATTCTCGAATCTAACTATGTTACTTCTTACTTCTTACTTCTTACCTTAGTTGGAGTAATGAATTGGTGGTGGGTGGTGAGTGACGAGAAAGTTTCAACTCCTAGTACCTTCTCGCATATCTCTTGATGTTCATTTGATATCTGCTGAGGAGAAGAGAAGAGAAGAATCTCCTACATGATTCTCAAGTCAGTATATATACTCGTATATGAAATACTCTCTATAAATGCCTAGAAAGTGATGGGATGGCTTGGAGTTATTTACTATTTAACGAGGTTGTGGGCGGGTGGGTATCTTGATCTCATCTTATATCTTCTGGCATAATATGACATCAACGTAGGGGAAAAGGGGGGCAGTTACTATCTATCCCCTTAAATGCACTAAGCTCCTTTTGAATAGTCTATACCCAGTTTGGAATAAAATAATATTAACTTTTGATATATATATATAAAGTTACAGTCAGTACAATAGATTTTTAAAGTTCAAATTCAAGTTAAATCTTTCTTTTATTTAAATTTGTTAGAACGCATACTACTGTACCCTGTACTATGTGCCGTACCCTAACATTATACCCTCGCTAGTATTGACGCTAGTTTTAGCGTATATATTAGCTAGTTTAATATTACAACTGTAATGTAGAGTATATATTATAATATACTATACAGTTATATTTCCAACAATATTGATTATATGAACAAGATATTTTTCGGTTTTGCTCAAGAAATATTATCTATCTATATTGAATCAAAATATAAAAAGCTTATATTGTATTTGTATATTAACCAAAGGTATTATTTAATCTTTCTGTTATTGCCCAGATTGTTGATCTAAAGGAAAAAGATATAAAAGTATTTAATAAATGTATTCAATAACAGATGGATAATTTGAAGAGAGGAATCGACAACAACAAGGTCAGGATTAAGGTGACGGAATAGATGGAATATGAGTAAGAAAGGGGTTTACAAGAATTTGTAGGAGTTTACAGAAATTGAAAGGAGTTTTCAGAGATTCATAGGAATCTACAGGATGGAGGACTAGTATACTCTTTGGATACGGTTTTGTATAATTTTAAAGAATTGCCAGTATCGGTATAGTTATCTACTGTACTGGAGTATCGGCGCTATACTAGCGAAGGATTAGGGCAAGTATTAGCGAAAGGATCTCAATACATATATAGTCTCCATTATGTAGAATAGGAATCAACAAGCTTTTTATTGATATCAATACTGAACACCCGTTGGACTTTCTATTATTGTAGATCTGAAAGATGTTCCCGTTAATACCAACACATACTATTATTCACTTTCCTTCTCCCTCTTCTACGAACCCGCTCATATTCCCCGGACCTATCAATCTTATTCGAGTTCACACACTATTTATAAGAATACCAACTCAACCCCATCAACACATCACAATTCAAAATAACAAACAATTTCATTTAATGGTTCTGACTTTGGAATCATTCTGGAGAAATGCACTTATGAGTATAATAATATCCAGAATTCGATTTCTTTTTACTTATCGAATTTAAATTTCAAGTTTTAGTTTGTTTACTACTTGAGTACTGGCTTTATTCCCTTTTTGTTATCATCTCATCGACAATTTAAAAACTCTAAATAAGAAATTAGCGATGAAAATCATAACAAACGACAGTATTTATACCAAAAATCATAACACTCATTTCATAGCAATCCTCTCTTGTATGTTCCATCTCTATTCTCTTCCTCAGAATCTCTCGTATTTCAATCTCTATAAACCCACCACAAACCTACCACCCATAATAATATAATAACATCAAATAAATTTACCTTCACTTAACATCCCACAAAATCATGCCAGCTTGCCAGCTACATACTCTCTCTCAATCTTAATCATTCTTCATCGTTCAACATAACTCAACCACATATATCAAAAAAACCATACCATAACCTAAGCTTATTGAAATTATACATACTTGGATGATCCGGAATACCTGATGCTATGTTCTCCAAAATTTAGAAAGAGTTGGCGAGTGTGCAGCTGTATCTGTTATATCGGCGATTTAATTGACTATCCTTTTTGAAAGGATTTATTGGGTTCTCCCTATTGTCTCTCCTCTCACTTCTACTCAAGCATTCAAACCTTTTCCCATCTTTACTTTTCCCCTCCTTATATTCACTACACTCATCTACCATTTGCTTTCCCCTTCCCCCTTTCCACCAACTCATTCATACCCTCTTCACACCCGCTCCCTCCCCTCTATCCTATCCCCTCTCTCCTCTCTCCTCACAACCTCTATATTCTTCAACATCTTCAACATCTTCAACATCAAATCAACACATCAAAACATAAAAGTACCACCCTACCCCTACCACTCTATCCCTTTCCCTACCAACCTATCCCCAATGTAAGATTAATTCCCTCCCATTACAAACCCATCAAAACCGAGACCAGAATTTCGAAGCCTATGCATGCATCTACAGATACATCCACAGATACATCATACAAAACCGAACATTCACAAATCGACTACCTACTGAGTACTGAGTGCTGAGTACAGCTACTCAATAGTATAATCCACCACACCATTACATCTCCTGATCTCCTGATCTCCACACCTCCCTGTTATTCCGGATCTAAAAAAACAAATACTAGTTAGTCATATTCGAGTCATACTAGTATAATGATTATTCGGAGCTTTATTTATGCTATAGTCTTCGTATATTCATCTCATCTCATCCCATCTCATCTCATCTCATTATATAAGACTAAACTAAATAGAATCAATCAATAATAAAAACTAATAACAGAAATCACAACCAATATTATTTATTATATATATAACTACTCGAGTATAAAATCCCCCTATACCTATACACATAAAATTGTTCCCCATAGACTTACATACTACCCCCCCTACTCTCCTCTCTCTTTCTATTTCCCATCTTTATCCTATACACTAGCAGATCCTTCCTTTTATTCCTCTTCAAGTTACAATGATATCTTTCTTACCATTACAATCACCATTAGCATCAGCATCAGCATCTACAATAACTTTACTATCTACTATCTATTCACCAAATACATATCATCTCCTAATCATCTCTCAATCATCTCTCATATCCCTAACCATCTCTTAAATCCCCAATCCTCAATCCCCAATCACTTCTCATATCCCTCAATCAAATCTTAAATCTTAAATCCCCACCCATCCAACATCCTTCATCCAACAAACATATCCCATCTCATCTCATCTCATCTCATCTCATCTCATCTCATCTCATCGCATCCCATCTCACCTCACCTCATCCCATCCCATCTCATCTCATCTCATATTAAACTTCAAATTCTTAAATACATATACTCGAGTACTCTCATATATAATAAACCCAAGAATCTACTCTACTCTACTCTACTCAGCTCTAATATCTACAAACCAGAAGCTTCTTAATCAAGTTATAAACCTTATTCAATTCAATTCAACTCAACTCAATTCAATCACTTAATTGCTTGTTTGTTTTCTTATTTATTCACATATTCCCCTCTCACCTCTCACCTCACCCACTTCCCTCTCCCGTATTCACCTTCCCTAATTTACTCGCTTATTCGCTCCCCATTCACCTCTCACCTCTCATCTCACCTCACTCACCTTCCCTCTAATTCACCTCTCCAATTCACCTTCCTAATTCACGTAATATATCACCTCTCATTAACACTCTCACTCCCTCACCCACTCCCATATTCATTCACTTACTCACCCTCATACTATATTCACTCCCCATTCACTCACTCACTCTCACCCCCCCATTCACACTCTCAACCACTCCCTCATTTACTCACTCACTCACCACATATTCACCTCCTCTCTCGCTCTTCCTCCCAAAAAACAAGAGATATAATGAAGTTCCATTCAATTGAATTCGACCCCAATCAATTTCAATTCATTCTGTTCTATTCCAATCCATTCCAATCTACTCTATTCTACTCTAATCTATTCCTTAGTCCATCGTCAAGTTCGTTATCAAATCCACCCATTCATCGTCTAGGTCATTCCATCTAGGTCATCTCATCCCACCTCATCCCATCCTAAACTCCTTCCTTTGTTCAAATCACAACTCCTAACCCATGATAAAAATACCCGTAATCATCCATCATCCATCATCCACACCAATACCAATACCGATACCAATACCAATACCGATACCAATACCAATACCGATACCAATTACCAATTCACCTCATCCCAACCCATCCATCCTACCCGCATGATCCAAATTCAATCATCACCAATGCCCAATGTATACGAAATCATCGAAACAACCGTAAAAATAATACCTAGTCCTAGTCCTTATGATTTGACCCAGACCCAGACCCACCCACCCCTCCACCTACACATAACTCCAACCCAACTCCTTTCCGCATCAACCTGAATCCGCAACTCCATCGCTAAACCAAACCAAACCAAACCATGAATCGAATTGAACACAAATCTAATTTCATCCTCATCCTCATCCTCTACTCTTCTCCACCACCACCACCACCACTTATACACCTCTCTTCCCCCACCTCTCCCCAAATCTCTCTATCCAATTCTTCCTAACCGTCCACATTCTCGCTCTCTTCCCCCATATATACATCGGAAGACTCGCCGCCATGCAAATCAACTGAATAACGCCCAACCAAATAAAAACACTCTTACTCCCACTCTTCTCCAACCATTTCGTAAAGAACAGACTGAAAATCAATCCATGAAAGATATTCTTTGTAAAATTCAACGTCACCAATGCTTCTCCCGCATATTGTCTATAACTATCCACACAGAATGTAATTGCCGTTGTAGAGCCTAGAGAACAGCCAAACGAAATGATGCCGAAGAAAATCGTAGGAACGATCCATTTATCATGATTTTGAGCCGACCAGCCGAAACCCATGAGACCGATGACCGTGGTGATGGCAACGGGTATTGCCATTATGAGTCGAAATTCGGGTTCGTAGAGACCTCCATTGCGGCGAGACATGGCACGAACAATGACATCACTTACTTTACCTGCAACAGCTGTACCGAGTACACCACCGATGAAGGGGGAGATATAAATTAAACCGGTGGAGAGAGCAGAGAAATTGTAAGTTTCTTTTGTTCGGTAGATGACGGCGACGGATTCGGAGAGAACGATGAGCCAACCTATTGAACAAGCATATACAATAGAAGACCATAGAACAGCCGGGTATGTGAAGAGTATAAATGGACGAATAGCTACTATAAGCCATCTATCTTTACTCAAACGACCGTTCCAGACTCCTAATTGTTGTACAAATGTCTGTCTTGGGGCCTCGCGAAGCTCTTTGGTGTATTGTGGTCCTAAAGATAGATCACGAAGTAGAACTCCCTCGTCAATATTTTGGAGCGTTTGATCTAAATGATCGGGTCTTTCGATTGAACGGCCTCGATCGACGTAGTTTCCTCCTAACTTTTCGATGTCGCTATAGTAAGGTGAGTTGAAATTGTGTAAAGTTGGTAGCGTCGTTGAGGATTCAGCCTGATGCTCAGAGTCATTACCACGACTAGTCGATCGAGTCGAATTGGGGTCAAATGATACTCGTGCTATACAGTATTGTTAGACTAACATTGCTATTATTTTATGAAATTTGTTTCTTACCGTGAGCTGAAAGTTGTAAGTGATTGGGTCTGGTGAGAGGGCTCGTAGGCCTTGTAATAGCATCTTTATCTTCTCCGTCTTCTTTTTCTTCTTTTTCTACTTCGTCATTCTTCGTTGAAGTCGAATCCGAATTCATATCATCCGGAACAAAACCAACGTGCATACTTCGAGTTGGTTCTGCTGGTCCCAATTGTATTGTAGGAGATCTGATCGGTTGCGTTTCCCCTTCATTGCCATCGAGTTGATGAGCTACATTAACTTTGGATGATGAAAAACGTCTGAACGCTCCGAGTTGATGGATTATTTGTGATATATTAGAACCTTTTCGGCTTCGGCTTGTAGATCGGGTTCTTTTAGGTCGCGGTGTTCGATCCCAAAATGTTTCGGGCACAAAGAAGAAAAGAAGTATCCAACATAAGCCACCAATCATAGTAACAATCCAAAATACCCATCTCCAACCGAGTGATTCAATAATTGCGGCACTGACAAGTGGTACCAAATTCTTTCCACCAAGAAGTAACAAAGTATAAATTCCGATACGATAAGCACGTTCGTGTAAGAAAAAGATTTCGGCAATTGTAGCAGATGGTAAACATTCGACTGGACTAAGTGCAATACCCTGAACGATCCTGGCTATGAGAAGGGATATATATGTAGGTGAAAGAGCGCACCATACACAGGAGAGGATGAAAAGAATTGCTCCGCCAAGGTACACTGGACGTTTTCCGTATAGGATTGCTGTAGGTGAAGCAAATACTGAGCCAACGCCAAGACCCATCATGTACAATCCAGTTGTAAGTGCAACATCGGCGGTTGTAACGTCGTACGTGGATGCAACATTGGTGAATCCGGCAGCTAAAATTGGTGTCATACCACCTCCCAGCATACAATATAATCCAAGGGAAAGTAATGCCGCATCTCTTCTCCACATTGGCCAATTTAGAGGGTCATTACTAGATTCTTCCGGTTGAGGATCCAAAACCGTTGATCCATCTTTTGTCAATTTCTTTTCGGACCAAGTTGAAGCTGCACGACTTCTATCATAGGGAGTTTGAGGTGGGAGTGTAGAGGTCGAAGTTCTAGCCGGGGCATTTCGCAAACCTAGTGGTTCATTTCGTTTGCCTGTGAGTAGGAGGATCGAGCCTAGAAAATTGATTCATTAGATATTGTATGGAATGGAATGGGGGTGAACTGTCTGGGAATCTCACCAGGAACTTCATGAGTATCAGGCACATTTAACATCCCCATGCTCCATTTCGAAGGTCGACCTCTGGCATCCGAGTCCTCCGCATCTCCATCATCCTTTTCATTCGGTGAGGTGGTTGCAGAATCTCGAGCGAAAAACGAGCGTGGTTCTTCTCGTGGGGAGATATCTATATCGGGATTGTCGCCCATCTCGATAGGCGTGAATTAAAGAGGAGAGAAGATCAATATATCATATCCAGAATAGGGTACTGTCCAGGATCCGAAACAAACAGGCTTCACCAGCCTTATGATAGAGACTGGTTGTAAGAGATTGAGAGTCTTTTGACCCAATAGGTGAAGAATAATTGAAATGTATCGCAAGGAAAAACACTTCCAAAAAAAGAATATAAAAATCTATAGGATAATGAAGGATATATAATACTTGTAGGTGGAGGGGCAATGAGGGAGTCAGAATGGCAGAAACCTGACTCTCGGATGTATAAGATTGAGATCTTTCTGTCGGAGATTTTCGAGTTTATTTGTACAATTAAGTTACAAGCGATAAGAAAGAAAGAGGAAGGAATTAAGAAGGAATTTGATATGAAGATTTAATTTATACTTTGGCTAGTAGATATACAAGTAGTCTATGTATTGTAGTAAGGATGAAGGTTGGATAAAGATTAGAAGAAACGGTTTTAATCCCTACCTAACAAGGTAGTGGTAGTACATTATCTAATACCCATGTTCAGGCGGTGTACTTAGTAGTCGTCTTGAAGTCGTTCTTGACTAGGATCATTTTCAATGACGATAAACTCTCAAATCCGATAGATAATTCGAAGATTAGCCATATCAGATTAGTGTACCAACTGATAAAAGAGGATATGGAGAACACAACACAATAGCGGTGGAGTAGGATTTTGAGACATGTATTGAAAAAAGAGGCAAGATAAGCGCTCAATAATGGGTTATTTCGAATGTTTTGATGATTTGATGATATGAAGAGTGGGAATAGGATTCCAAGTGGTTGGAAGAGTTGAAGTCGTGCTCGTGTTGGTTTTAGTTGTATATATGAGGGTTTCTAGTTGTGACTTGTGATAAGGATGAAGCCACACACATGTTCAAACTACAGGGTTAAAATGTAAAGCGAGGACATGAAGATCTCTTGGATGGATCCCTTTAGATCTCAAGCCTCTCAAGCCTCTCATAAGGATAATATCCTTGTACCGAGTACATCATTACACAGACAATCCATATATATATACCCTACAGGGATCTTTCTAGGCATATTCAATTCCCAAATATATGGACAAATAACGCGCGCTTCCCGGTCATTATAACCTTAACTGCTTATTTTGTGTAACTTAACTTATTAGATTAGGGGTTATCCGAAGTCTAACTAGACCTTATCTCAGTGCGCGATTTATACATTTTCGTGAGTACAAGTACATCCATCCATCACAGTACTCGAGTATATGTAACTTTGATTTCAATTCATCACTCACATCCCTCTTCAAAAAGGCATCCAATTTTCAATATTCTATTCAATGCATGAAATGGAACATAACAATCAGATCACCACAACAAAACTCAATAGATCTACGACCAGGATATCCAGCTGATCACAAGTCATCTGCTATCTCCCCAATATACATAATATATACTCGTCATCCTCCACTCTATTCTCCGCAAGCAAGGGTCCATTCTCACCCCAATCTGACATCTTTTGCATAAGAAACTTTAGATATTGTCCGCTCTGGTATACCCCAGATTAAACCATTGGTTCTTGGACAATACCGATTAAAAAAATTCCGGGGTAATGAATCACGATGTTATGGTGTCACTCTGATAAGACGTTCATGTTCATCTATTGTTTTGTTTTGGATTATTTGAAATGCATACCTAGTAGGTAGCTACATACTCGAGTACTGAGTTTAGTACTGTAAAGTTGGTTGCAAGAGCTACTCACATGCTTTGTATTGCATATGTACGAGTATGTATCTACTCGTAATTATCGACTACAGTACTCTTCCGAAACATTCTTCCTTTCTTTCTACTGTATACAACATAAGGTCGAGTGATCAAGATTGTTTCCAAATGTTATTTTTTTCTATTCGGTACAGTTTGGTACAATTTCCAGTCTCAGTCAGGATTCCTAGCAAATAACAAGTTGAGAGTTTGTACCTTATCTATTCTTGCTATCGGTTTGGTTGTTACCTTCCCTTCCCTAAACTGGCAACCATACCAATCCACAGTCCATTTGAAATGTATTTTAATTACTACGTCCCACTACTGTACCCTCCTTCCCGTTGATTCTCATATTCACATTGTACAGGTACAACCTCACTAGTATCAAGAATTAATGAAAAGAGCATCGATATGGATAGCTTACCGGGCACCTTCACCTTGTTACGAGTACATAGAAAGGATTTCTATCTTCCTTTCTACACAGACTCTAAAATTGCAAATTGCCCCATTTAATATTCCTATATCTAGGATTCTCATTTCAGCAACACTAGGTCTTCTTCTACTAGCCGTCCTATATAGTCTTAGTCTTAGACTCCCAGACGGACGTTAAACCAATCAATCAATCAAAGGAATATAATCACGTGATATCCTTCATCTACCTCATCTACCTCATCTTTATTTAGAGCCTCAGTCAATATTTCCTCCCAACTGTTTACGAGTAATAGTATATGACTTAATAGTTCGAAAAATCCAACTTCTGCAATCTTAAAACTCAATTGGTCCATTCAAATTCAAATTCAAATTCCAAGAGAAAGACGTACAGTCATGTACTAAAAATCTATCCTTTAGAAGCAGATCAACATCCACTATCTGGACTTGCAGTACGAGTACATTCGTACTGATCAGTGGGCTAATATTCCAACACATTATGACAACCTGATGAGCACCGTGCACGTGCTCAAATATGTCCTCCCTCCAAGATGTTTTGTCGGATGTACAAGTAGTTTGCCTTATAGATATCACTTGTTGGACTATTAATCCGAACTGCAGTTCGTATGCATAATTTATAATTAGATGAATGAACTACATACTTGTAGTTTGGTTTAATAATTTTGTATTCTCAAAGAGCTAACTTATCTATCACACATATGATATGCAGACGAGCTGTATGGACTGCAGCCTGGACTACGTACTCCAAAACTTTTAGACAAACTGGTCTGTAATACTCGAGTATATCAAATCTTCTGCCCTAGACCGTTCTATCGTGTAAAGATTGTCTGAACTCCACATTTTCTCCCTCATTCAATTCTTCTTGATAACATAAGTTCTTCTGAAGGCCTCATCGATTCCATCCAAATAGAATGTCCCAGGCAGCAATGAAGTGATATCGCCGGCGGGTATATAATTATTCTTCCCATAGGCTTTCAAGCGAAGATCGCAAGCCTTTTGGCCCAGTTAGACTATTTCAGGAACAAATGTTTTCACAACAAAAACTTACCAGTTCGTACTCCTCTGGTGTAGAGATATGTCTTTGCTTCAGACGAGTCATCAAATCGATTTTCTGGACCATTGTTGTGAGGTCACCCGTAACCTTTAAAGCAAACAAGGTACTTGCAGCACCGCTTCCGTACTAATTCGTGGTTCACGTCAGCGTCAATTCTCCCCCCCCATGATATCTTCGTTTGGGAGAAGGGATTTATGTATTGTGGGAGGACAGGAACGGAAAATCTCACGCTGAACATGCCAATAACTTTGCCTTCGGCGGTGGGAAGATCGATGTTGCTTATGAGGCTGATGAGAGAGCAATAGAGACTGCCCGTGTACATGTTACCGCATAAAGACGGTGCAACAATGCAAGACTCGACTCGCTTCTTGAATTGGGATTCCGTCACAGCCACAAGGCTTTTCTCAAGGATTTTATTCCTCAGAGATTCATCATAACTGAGACCACGGAGCTCATTGGGAATTCCCTCCCAGTCAGAAGGATCGGTTGACCTTAGACAGTCATTGTATTTGAGTCGTCCGTACGACTTACTGACCAGCTTACAATTGGGAGTGTGAAACGCCATGTAATCAAAAAGATCAAGAACTTTCTTCGATATCCTGCTGTCACCATCGGAGTTTCCATTAGTGGCATTAGCTCGATGAAATAGATCCTTGTAGCATGCATCAAGAGCGCTGATATAGCAGGTGATAGACTCATGACCATTGACAGTCGGGAACTCGGATTTCAGATCCGGCTTATAGAAATCATACGTATTCGTCATATAGACGCCTCTCAGACTCGGCTCCAACGAAAGCGCTGCGTTGGGACCAATAAGCATAGCTACACAACCCGCACCACCAGTGGGACGCGAGGAAGCTTCTTTGTAGAGAGCTATGTCGGATGCGACAACTATGGCATCACGTCCATCCCACGAACGCGATTCCACCCAGTTGATGGCGTTGAATAAGGCATTTGTGCCGCCGTAGCAGGCGTGGAGGTTATCGACACCTTCGAGGCTTGTGTTGCCGGAGGGTTCGAATAGTGTCGTGAGAACTGACTTTACGGATTTTGCCTTGTCAATCAGGGACTCGGTGCCCACCTCGAGACGGCCGATGCTCTTGGGATCGATGTCATATTTTTGAAGCAGAGACGACACTGCCGTCAAAGCTAGCGAACAAACATCTACACAAATTAGCTAGCCTCATGTGACCGTGCTTGCCAGGTGACTTAGATCGTCCCGGCCTATCCTACCTTCTCTATCGGTACAGTAATTCATGTATTTGAGGCCTAACCCGATGGTATACTTGCCAGTTGAAACACCCTGGTGCTTCTCGAACAGTGATTGGTCCAGACACTCAAGTAGTAGTCAGCAGGTGAATGAATACTTATCGAGCGGTGAGCCGGATTGCGAAAAGAGTAGCTTTACCTGTACAGGCACATATATTTCCATGGCCTTGATGCCGACATTCTTTGGATATGTCATTTTAGAGTAGTGGCTTCAATCTGCTGATGTGTTACTGATTGATTATAGTTGGCATGAGATGTGGGATAGTGAGAAATTTGGCGAGTTCAGGGAGCCGATTGAGGTCCCGATTGAAGACCCGATTTGACATCCAACCGAAACCCCGTTTGCAAATCCGACGAAAGAACTGGGCCCTGATTTTAGACATCGCTGACGATGTCTATCATCAACGCCGTTTCTTCAATTCTGTGGTATATAGTATAATATTTCTGGCAATTCGTGAATTCTTTAGTTGCACAGATCTTCATCCCGTTGGCCCCCTTACTTCTGATTCCCAGAAACTGGGAAAGACGATCTTGTCGATACCAACAGAATCCCTCAAATCATGACATCGATTTCCTCGGACACCGCCTTTCAACGTGGAATTATCATGTATATCGCGAGTTGTAAAAATCAAACGTTACTTCAATTACTATCAAAAGGCCTGCATTGAATACACGAAATAGAGAATCTCAGAGATTCAAGTGTTGAACCTGAACCATACAATCCTCCCGAAGAATAAATCTCCATCAAAATCTCATAGTATGCCCGTTCTCAATACACTCCATCACACAACATGAACTTTCCACTTCTTATCAATCTCAACCAAGTTCACCCAAACTCTCTGAGGCCCATCACATCCAATAATATCTAAATATACCGAGCCCCGTTGTCCTGGCCATATACCCAACAATACCCCAGTGGTTTAGGTGGTATAGCCTAAATACTCTACACAATACACATCAATCTTTTGGTTGATGAAATTTGCTAGTCGCAGGAACGCATGATTTCGTGTAAAGACCTGGGTTGCGAATGTATGTGATTGCTTAGTAAAGCTTTCTCGTATTGTGTGCAGTATGTTCTGTATACCTTTGAGGTTGATTGTTTGATTGAAAGACAATTGTCTGTTGTACACCGAAAGAAATGCGAACCTATCAAGAGTGATCGGATTTGGAGTTGATGAGGAAATGCCAATGAGATATTGCTGTTCTGGCTTTAGAATTACCAGAAAACCATGTCGGATGTAATTGTTATAGTGACCTGTGTTAGTACTGTATATAAAATCCAATCCAGAATCATGATGGAAGTCATGTTTCCATTCGGAGCCTGCTAAGGGAAGCAAGCTTCCATCCTCGAAGGTGATTTGGTAATGTTCTAAAAACCCTATGAAGGTATCAGAATCGTAGGTTTCTGGAACCGAAATGAATTTAATGATGTGGTGGGTGGGTTTATAGGATGGTTGTATGGATGGGAGATATTGCATTGTGATGGCAGCTGGTGACAAGAGTTGTATAAATATATCTTGGGCAAGTTATGGCAATTGGCGAGAGCAGTGGTTTTGATAGAATTGAATAACTTTTTCTTTTGTATGTTTGAATCGAAGGTCAATAGCTACAATCGGGTGGAAGAAGTCTATTACACAATCTTTCTCAAGCAGTTCCTTAGTGAGGCAAACAATAACTATCACTAGATTATCCATTATATCGATTGGTGCAACAAGTTGAGAAAGAAACTGACTAAGATCTTGTATGTATGATTTCATCTGTTTTTCCGGATTCCTTTTTATAGCTGCTTCGATGAGGACTGATGTGAGCTGGCAGAAGGACAAATACTCTGGTGCTAGATCAGGAGAACCGAAGGCTATCTCCTTTTTATCACTAGGTGTTGGTAATTTGAGATATATCTTTATATTGAAATAAGTGCTGATTGAAAATGAGATGAAAATCGGGCGAGTATCAAGAAAAGGAATTGGGTGGGAGAAAAATCTTGTAATGGAGGGGAATGAGTGTCTATCCGAAGATCAGATTACGGAAGACGATAGTGGTACAGCAAGCAAAGAAACGCGGGGGTCCATTAACTGGTTCATGAAGTAACAGTAAGCAGCTCTTCCTTTACCTAACAGAGTCTCAGGCGAAATGATTGATTGGATTATCTATCTACCCTTGTCCAAACGGGAGGCTGCCTCTCCTGAGCTCTAGCTCCAAATAGACTATTAGAATCAAAAACGAAGTTTAATTTCTATATATCATAGAAACAAACCATGGACGGTCGAGAACTCTATAAATTGATCTTCAAAATAAAAGAGGCAATATTGCAAGCAGAAATTGCGAACACTCATTGCCCAAAGAATCAATATTTAGGAGATGATACATGGGAAATCTACGATCTCATTTGTCCGTATACAAAAAGACTTGTTTCCAAAGAAGAATTCATGGATATTTGGGCAAGGCTCTGTAAGAACACCCCCCTCCACATGTTCATATATTTACTCAACTAGAATCCGAATCACCAGATCATCCAAAACTTCGAAACGCAGTGGCAGAGCATACGCGACACAACAGGATATATATATATCAACACACAAATATTTCTCCGCCCTTTTGAAACTGATAAATGGGGATCTATAATGCTACACATATTTGAATTTATACTGGAACGAGTATGTACAGTTTGGAAGGATTCGGACTACCACATCTTGACAATACTTTGTCCTTTTCATGAGAATCATTATGAAGCATGTTCTTAGACGCAAAAGTTCTCGGCTCAAGGAAATGACTAAAGTAACGCAAGCAGAATTCAGCAAGGGTCTGGATTTTGTACTCTGAGGTTGCCACGCATTGGTCGGGTTGGTATCATTTGCAAACGAGAATCTGAGAAGCTTTTTTGAAAGCGCCCCCCCTCATTTCATAATTCTAACCTCAGCACAATCCCAATTTTTCCACCAATAGATTTAAGCTACCTAGCTCTTTCCATTAATAACTTCGAGTCCAGCAATACAATGGAGCTTATCCATTCCATTATCTCCTGGCATCTGAGCTTCAGGGATTTTTGATAAGTTTAACTAGGTAGAAACACATCCGAATCTTTTGATGCGGGAAGATTCTATAAAAGGTGATAGCAGAAGGATGCTACACATGTATTGCAGATGGAAAGCTCTGGATTAGAAGGAAAACTTAGATTGGGATTGGGATCGCAAGCCAAAACATGAGATAGATTCTCTCCGAGTTCTTTAGCAATCTTGATGCTCTGGCCCTGTTTGTAGCTTTATATAATGAAAGCATCTTGTTTGAATCGACCACTATCTTTCTTGTGTATATCAATCATATATTGCTAAAATTCTCTTATATTCTTGCTTTCTTTCTTATAGATCTTGAGAATGAACATTTCTTTAATACTATCGACAATGAATTTTTTGTAAATAGTGTGGGTTGGGATGGAGCTAGAAGCATGTGGCCAAGTATGGCTACAATCTTAGGGGAGGACTTGGTTGGTTCGCTCATCGGTCTATTTCGAAGTATGGCGGTTGATGAGGGTGCTCTGAATAAGAACAGTCTAATTTTTGTAGGTATTGTGTATGGATAAGGAATGCGAAGAACTTGGTTTTGAAGACAGATATTCCAGGGTTTGAAGTAGAGATGAAAATATCAGAGAAAGTTGAAAGGAAGACAATATTCTTATATATGCTCTAGAGAGTACCAACATAGACCTGATTAATATCGCCAAATATTAAATGGAAAGGATTTTGAATGAGTTGAAGGTTACCATATTCCATATCCTAGGTTCTGGTATTGAGTAGTCCTAACCCTGCCATTATCATATCACACAATAGATAGGAGAAAAACAGTATATACTGTCATTATGAGATAGAAAGGTATAACTGAAGCAATCTAGAGTGTGAAGTCATTGCATAATAGGAAGGTAGCTCCTGTTCTGCATATATGAATCACAATAGAGAAATCAGCATCTCCAGGGATTCCGGACAGCCTGGACATGAGAAATTTCAAAGTTCTCATATCATGATTTAGGAAGTAACTAGCTACATCGTATTTGATAGAAATGTAATAACACTCTGCATATATTTGACCGAATCCTAGTCTGTGATTTGGTTGCTTTAAGGGAGCATCAGCATCTGCAAATTTTTGTGCTTTAGGCATGCGTATTCAACGCCTCCAATACTTCAAGTTAGACAGAGGTGACAAGGGGTTTAAGAGGTGCATATTGGAGCAGGAAAAAGTGCAGAAAGAAATGAAGGATTGTCTAAGTCCCAAGGGGTGATCTCGGGTAAAATCAAGGGGTTAAGGGGTTTGAAAGGTGTATAAATCTTTCACAACATTAAACAATATGGCTGAAATAAAAGGTAGATGATGACCGACGAAGTAGCTTAATCAAGGCTGGTTATAAGGCTGGAAGATAGGAAGGAATACTCGAAGGAAAAGCAAAAGTGCAAATCACGAAAGTGAACCATGACTAGAATGCTACTTAAGGATAAGGACCATGTGAACCCATCGGCAAATTTATATGATCTCCGTCCATCCTCTCATTTCCTTTGGTTCAACAAACATCATCACAGCCTACAATCACTTTTCTCTACTGATTAATTTACCAAACTACAAAATGAATTGCGACCCCCAGAAAACCTATGCCGAGGTAGTAAACTCACCAGAGTTTTCTAGACAATCACTAACAAACATCGTAGGAAAGGTACAAAAGGATGGATATAAGAAGTGAGGTTCACTCACTAAACTGGAAGGATGGATTTTGTTTGTTTTTTTACCACGTGCTGGAATTCAAATATCCCAATATTGAGATGGTACGTTTAAGTTTGATAGCAGAAAATATATGCAGGAGCTAGACTCTATTCATATCTGACTCTGAATTCTAGAGATCTTCACTCAAATGAACAAGTTATGATGAGAATCTTGAGGTTCGGCCATAATGTTAAGAGGATAATTTTCTGAAATCTTTCTCTTCTAGGTATAGGAGGTTTTGAAATAGAATATACTACAGTTTCGTCTTACAAGTCCCTTGTCATTGATGTAATGAAGTCCAATTCCTGCCTATATTGTCTCGTAGCAAGCTACAATGACTAATTAAACCAGCAAACCCCTCTCGAATATCCTTCCAGAGATACTTGAACAGGGCAAAGTAATGTCGTCGACATTTAGCGATATACAATTGTTAGTATCAACGAGAACACCTTTCAGGTCTATGATAATAGAAAGCCTGATGGGTGTTCAGTATTGATATTCTTATAAAACTTGTTGATTGCTATTCTATATAATAGGGACTATATATGTATTGAGATCCTTTCGCTAGTATGGCGCCGGTGCTCCGGTACAATAGATGACTATACCGACAACAATATTCCTGATTATTTCATTTCCAAGATTGATGTATTGATCACTAGTGGTTGAAAGCCCCTAATAATGTATATTTGATACCCTGATCATATCAAGTCTGATATCTAGTATTTTGTTTGAAATTTATATGGTATATACTTTCTCGATATATAATTCTATAGCTATATCAAAAATATATTCTTGTAATCATCGTATTCAAAAAGAAGTATAGCCCCAGTTAAAGTACCCTATATATATTCTAAAGTAATCTGGGTACCTTGCAAGTTATTTGTGATTCGAAAGATATCAGGAGAAGTCTCTCCCAAAATACCAAACCCGTACTAGGGATTGGATCAATTATTTTTGTATAGAAAAACGGGACTTTCAATTACATACAATCACTTTCTCATTGATCTCACTAATTGTCATAGTGTTGCTCCAGCTTGTACTGGTATTGGAATGCGCGTAGCCGTTATTCCCCACAGATTGCGCGGAAGATGTTAGGATTGGAATAATAGGGGGTACATGTGAGGTGGGTAGATGTGCGGCGTGAGGTACAACTATGGTGAAGATAGAAGGATACATCCTATGTATGTATTGAGATAGTAGGGAAGTAGCTTCAGCCAAGGCAGAGTAATGATAGATATGAGGAGAATGCAGTGGAGAATGAAGTGAGGCGGATTAAGTTGTAGTATTATGAGATGAAAAGAGCATACACCGGTTGCCTCGTTCCACAAGCTTCCTCTTATAGATCTGTTTCATTGTTGGAATCTTTCAAATTGATAGTATTTTTTATTTCTTTTGCTCAAGAGGAAATGATCAAGACCACATATATCAAATCAGGTTCCCACACTCCAAAAGCAAGGATTTCCTGGAAAACGATGTTGCTTGCTGCAAGCAGTTCCGAGAAGAACAATTGTATTATAAGGAGTTAATCTCATTAGACCTTCGGCATCTTTTCTTTATTATCTTTGTTTTCAAATATAGCGACAATATTATTGATATCAAATGTAGGTCAAGCTTGTTTGCGGCACCCTCGCTTTCCCCGGATAGATCAAAGCGTCTTACCAAAGTTATGCCGTATTTGGATATCCCATTTTCCCCTAGGAAAAGTGGGTTGTCCAAATACAGCAAAGCGCGTGTATGTCAGCAGTGTATCATTTATCCACTTCTAGTCTTCTCCTATCTCTACTTTCTTGTTATTCATTTTCTAATCATCGCCAAAATGTGTTTATGCTCAGAGATTCAACATGGATTTATACAACCTTCTGACAACCAAGAGGTATGAAAAGATGAATCTAATAAAGATATGTTTTTACTGATGACTAGGAAAGTTAGCTGGACATTTGGAAACTTTTTTGACGCAGTTATATGACTTTGTATCTAACAACGAACACTTGATGCCGTATCTCCTATTTACACTACAAAGGAAGTTGACCCCATTATCAAGTACAGTGTCTAAGCCTTTGGAGGCCGAGAAGCGTATAGCAAAGATTTACAAGTATAATCCTGCTGATTATCATATACAAACACTACTCCATCGTAACTTCGACACCTAGGACAAGGAACTAGAATCATTCTTTACATTTCAGCAGCCGCAGATGACCTGCAATACGATCGACCCCCAATCTGCAATCATCCTTAGTTGTTTACAGCTTCAACAAATCGACACCCATTCCCGAATTCTACGTAGGTTTTACTGTGTTGCACTTCATCGATGTCGAGCAATTCGTCGGCAAAGTGATGATGCGAAAACTGTTGCACGCAAAATTTTTCCAATCTACCATCCTGGTAGATCTCTAGAAGAAGCTGGCGACGACATGCAATCTCTTATTAAAACGATTGAAATCTTGATACAAGCAGGTCCGAGATATGAAAATATTGCAAAGAAGTTGGGCTTTGGCAGCTTATTTCTTCTTGGAGATACTGTTCCAGCTAATGTGTGAGTGAACTTACCCAGATCAGAATTCCATTCTAATCCTTATACAGATGGGAGAGATGGTTACCATATAAAGGCTCGTTATTTGAGCAAGCGATGAGTTATTTGATGGACAAAGGTATTATCGACTTGGGAGAAAAATACGAGGAGGTTGCTAAGAAAATAATCAACCGCTTTGAAGATAGTAAGTAGCAGACAGCGCATTGAAACATTGACTAATAATATTCTAGTTTTGCCAAAATCTGCACATGGCTGGGTCAGCCATGAAACTGCGGGCCAGAAGTCATCAAAACGGAAGTCAAATTATCAGCTAAAGGGAACAAACAAAAAGAACAAGAACCATACTACAAAGAATTCCTTGGACGATAGTGGAAATCGTATAGAGACCGAACCAGCTGCCCCAGATCACACTGCAGAGTTTCCAGATCAGTTTGAAGTTGACAGTCCGGGCAACGACCGATTCAGACCGGATTTTACAGCATCACTGTCTACTTCGGGCACATCTATTACTGCTTTCAAACATGCTATAGTCGCCGATCCGGCCGCTTCCAACAGCAATCCCATTTCGATAGATGCATTATTGAATGCAGCAGATTACATTGCCGAGTCTACACAGAATCAGCAGTTGGCGACTGCCAGAAACTCACCAATTCAAATCACCAATGGAGCGGTACTCAGTGGTTATGAACAAGATTCTATTGCTGATGAATATGCTGAATTTGGAAGCAGAAGAGGGGTAAAGAGAGGTTTAGAGTCACAGGCCGAAGCATGCGATTCATCTAGCAAACAAAGGCGCATCCATTCATTTTCAGGTCTCGATTCATCCCTATCCCAGTCGTCAAATACGAGAAGCGCTTACCAGACTGAGGCCATCGGGACGAATATAGCAATAATGGCCGAGGTCTGCAAGCTAGAGAGTCCTCTTGGAGTTCAACTTTTCAAAGGTATGGATGCAACCTATATCAGAGATCTAGAGAAGCAGAGGCGATGGGGGAAATTTACCGATGCTGTGCGTTTGCATCTTCCATCTCCCGAAGCGAAGGATTATAAGTTAGAGGTCTGGATATGTCCATCGATCGGGAAAGTTATTTCGCAAGCGAAAGAATCGGCAAAGGACTTGAGGGATGTACTTGATGAATATCTCTTTGATGCTGTGAACACTAGCGATTGGAAGAAGGAACAAGAAAGGAACGGATTACAAGGTTTTGCCGGTGCTGTTACTGTGTCCTTCCCCAAAGGAGATGATGGTAGTGATTGCAAGGTTGAGATAATATTGAGTGCTGAAAAGGGGTCAGAGTTTTATGAAAATGTATTTCCTTTTGATTGAAATCTATCAATAGGTAATAGTTTTCACCAATTTGAAATCCACATTTTTCACCTTGACGCTCCATCCTGGATGAACAATTCCATTCTCCTCATTTGAATCTGCCTTAAGTTTTCTTATACCCAAAATTACGTGGCCATCTCCTTTCTTCCATGACATATATCTCTCATAATTAACCGCTTCAAAAGTATAGTCGTCGAGGAATTCGTAATCGCCATCGGTGGTCTGTTCAGCCTATATTCTATTCATTAGAATTGGTATAATCGTAGGGAATATAGGTAAAATCGACCTCACCTCAGGCATAGTAATAGACCAAATTCGTGCCCGGGTTCGTACTGAATTTCAAGAATCTTCTGTTCTATCAATAATGGCCGAGATGTAATAGTGAATGCACACTATCCTATGCACTCCTTCTAAAGCGTGGGTAGATGAGGAAGATTGCGGTCGATTTTTGGCGTTTTTCTTGAAGTCTGAAGGCTGGCTGGCTGGAAGTGAGATTGTTCGATTTGACTGCTATGCAATTAGTAGTGTTGGCAGATAGATATACCTAAAAGGAATGCATACTACTTTTCAAGGATTTCTGATCGAAATGAAGTTGATGCGAAAGATTGAAGACTTGAGGTCGGGATGAATATTCGATATATAGGGAAGGAATACTATATTGTTAAGATATGAATAAAAGTAAAAAAAGACTTGATGAGGTTTGGTATTATGCTTACACAATTTGCTTAACAGTCCGAAAGTGATCGAAAGGACTAGTAGTATAGTTAGGTTGTTTTAGGATACTATTATTATTATTTTGATCTGGATTCTATCCAATCTTATATTAGATACACTTTGCGAAGTCTTTTTGTATGATCCGATTTATTTGTTGCAAAAGGAGCGATGACTGAACTCTGAAATTAGAAGCATTATCTTTTGTCAGGCGATTTATCTCATCTATTATATACGATCATTGGATCAAATGGATCGGAATATATATTCCTAGTAAATCATGATTTTCCTATTTGATTTCATTTATATATTCACTGCTTTACAACTTTTAATAAATCAATCTCCATTAATCAATAACTCTTCAAAATAGCTAACATTCAAATCAAAACTATCAATATTGTAATAGCATCCAATCTGTATCTTTTTGATATTGAAAAGAAGATTTATATATTACTCTTTATCGAATTGAAGATCGAATTAACTTGGAAATTCAATCATTTATGAATCAGTCCAAGTAGAATCTCCTATTTCAACTGAGCGCCAAGCAGCCCTAGCGGTAGAGAATAATCTCATTTCAGGGTTGAGTATCGGATTCATATATATTTCTAGCTAAAAACCCCATATATATCGTTGCCGTTGATCATTTTTGCGCCATGCTTAACGCCAAGTAAAGAATAAGTTTGCACAGTATTGGGAATCTCGTTTTCACTTGTGAAAATGAGATTCCCAAATAAGGCTAGAAAATTACAATAAAGTGGGGTAGACGGGTAATATGTTTATATTTGATTGGGAAACACAAATCAGCGTCAGAATCTCATGTTGGGCATACATTCAATATACAGTGCATTAAAATTCCAGTCACTTCTATTGTCAAGCCACATAAAACAATTACAACAACTTTATAAATACCAAATTCCGCATTAGATTATATTCAATTGTTTTATTAATTCTAGAAGATTCTTATCTGTACTATTATATGCTATCCGATAATGATGTGGTGTTACAGTAAGCAGCAGAACGAAGGCGACATTAACCTTGCTTGATATCTATTTCTATTTGGTCTTGCCGGGGCCAGGGGTAAATTATGACTTGCTTGTATCTTGATTGGAAGGAGAATAATGAGGGTGTGTTGCAAGGCTATGAACCAGTGCGATAGTGAGATGTAGTTCATTAATGCAGACATACTGCTAATGGTTGCATTACCCTGCTCACAAGCAAATTATGCATCATATTCAATTGCCAATTATCATTCCCTTTCGCAGGATTTTCCTCATCATATCAGCTAGAGTTATTATAGCTTGATTCGAGAACTACCTCCAATAATGTATAGTTTTCATTATATAAACTGGTTGATTCTTATCAATTTTCTTTATATACCTTGTCAATTCTCTTTACATTCTTAGTATCAAAGTCTCTTGATCATATTTTCCATCTACTATAGTCAAAATACTTCTCAAACCACCCCCTTGCAAGTCTTCCCAAGTCACTTCCTTTCAGCCTTCTCGAAAACACTCCCTCTCAGTTATTCTCGAAACCACTCTCTCAGGCCTTCTCAGCCTATCGCAACCCCTTTCAATAGGTAGAACTGTCAAAATACCTTCTAGCTTTGATTCTTGCTTACCTTTTGAACCAGCCGATATTACTCTTTATAAATATCTCTTTCTAAGTTATATAAAGCAAGTATATCCCAAAAGCTTGATGATAAAATATTTATTGATAAAATTTAGATGTCTTTTCAACATAATGGACTTATCACAACTTATGCTTTGTACAGTGCTTACCTTCAAGCCTCAAAGCCAGAATTGCGAGAGACGGCCACTGTTCCACTTTGGGAGGATATTCTCAACAATGAATTTAAGCAATATGATAATATTGTTGTGAATTCCCAACAACCATTGGATGATTCAACCAGATCTGCAGATGTGGTAGTTAGATCTTATGATCAGGAATTCAAGCCTATTTCGTTCCTGATAATGGAATGTAAACGCTATAGTAGGACACATCGAGACATTGATGAAATGGAATTGCAGCTTGAACTATATGTTCAAAACTATTTCTCGGAGTTTGGTAAATCAGAGGGGCGAACCGGTGTCTTTGGCGCAGTTGCGTTTGGAACCAAGATTCGAGCTTGGCGTTTCACTTGCGAAACTCCTACATCATTCGTTGCGATTCCTTTGATGGACGGCAAGACAGGGATAGCGGATCTTGAATCCTACAGAGACCCTTACATTCCTGCAGAAGCTAATCAGATCCGAGAGTTCCTGAAGATGGTGAGAACATCTAAGCTTACTTCAACTTCACAGATATCATACACCACCGAATCATCCTCATCGACTACAAATACAAACATACTTCATTCAACCGCTATTATATCTACTAATACATTTTCACACTCGCAAGAGATCATCGGACCAACACAGGATCATTATTATGTCTTTGAGCAAAATTATTATTGGTATTCTCAAGGAAAAATCACCGATATACAAGACCGCCTAACGAATGAGTGGGTTTATAATTACTATGGTTGGGCTGGTGAAGAGGCAAATGGTTGTAAATGGCGAATGGTGTATGCAAATAAACAAGTCATATATGCTTGATATGGATGGAAGTTGTTGAGGAGATGGAGTCTTCTTCTGATTCTCGAGCTGGGGCTTTATGGGATGAGATGATGTGATACTTTTTCTCGGACTCCTTAACATAGGTTTTCCACCTTTGTCTGTGGTTTTCCCTATGCTCTAGTGCAAATGCAAAGGAGATATTGTTCAATCACTGATGTAAATGATAACCCTTATGCGTTCACTCTAAGTGCTTGCTGTGGCATCGCTTCAAATTAACAAATTGTGATGATCCTAATTGAAATTTTAATCTACAATGCCAAAACATTCAATAGCAAGGCCGCCATAGAACCAAAAATAGCAGCCTTGTATAAACTGCCCTTGCGATGGCTAGAAACTTTTGTACATATCTGTGGACTCTGGGCCTCCTAGTATATCAAAATATTGGGATCGACCTAAGATAGTATGGATCTATAAAATTGTTATTTTTGTTTTTATAAAATAAAAATAGAAAATATAATATACCGTAAGATATAATCCAGGGAAATTCTATACCCAGATTTTATCAATTCTCTCCTTATAAGCTTCAATCGGAAAATATATTGATGAATCATAATCAAAAGATTTTCCAATAGATTGCAACCTTGTTTTCGAATGTATACGAATACCAATAACCCCTACATTACATTTCAATCTCACAGATATCACAAACATATCCTCATCAAAGAATACCAATTCCATTGGTATTTTATGTTTTCCATGAGAAGATATTCTAATATTGTTTCGATTTATGTAGTGCTCTGGTAATAATGCTTCTATTCGAAAAGGCTTTATAATAATAGTTTCTGGAAAGGGTAAGGTTATATTCGAGTTATACTACCAGTAAATTTGTTAGAACTTCAAAGCCTAAAGGAATTAGTAATTGTTTAAAAAAACTGAAACATAAAAACTTATATTTATAAAAACAATTAATTGATTATTCGAATCATTATTGATATTAATGCCTTTGAATCAATTCAAAATGGAAGAAACTCCAAATGATTATTCAGACTTGCTGAATTTAAGATTGCATATACCCAAAGAATTAATAACGAAACTGAAATTGGATATTTGGTTTGCT